TCGCAATCAATCCCTGATCAATATATTCTGTTAAATGGCAGGAAAAAGTCTATGTGCATAAGAAAAGGTTGCCAATCCATCATAAGGCAACACCTAGACATGCAACCTTGTGAGCACAAAGGCAAATTAGAGAGGTAAAGATGCTTTCAGCCAAGAAGGCATGTTTTCAAACTATGGGAGGAAGCCAGAGTTCCTGGAGAGAACCCACATATGAATAGAGAGAACCCACAAGGAGAATATATAATCATTGCAGACAGAAGCTAGATCAGGTACTAAACCCAGGGCCGCCATGCTGCAAGGTAACAGCGCAACAAACTGTACCATTGTGCAGCTTATAGTTAAAGTTCAGTTTAGTTTATTTATTTTAAGCTAATTCAGCATAAATGTCAACTCGAGGCACTAAACAGACTCAATTCAAATTCAATTATGTAGAAATATGTAATCAGATTTGTCCATTGCAATCCAATCATTTAGATACATTTTAAATAAATCGCACATCATAATTTGACTAAAATTCACCAAGGTGAAGATGACAATAGAACACAACAGTAAGGCCTCATTTTTATTGTCTAAATTAGCTACCAAAGGAGATCCATGATTATCTCAGTGACTACTTCAAGAAAATTGGAAAAAATAAATCAGGCTGCTGCAGACTAAACATATAGATTTTTATTCAAAGGGAACAAAAGCAATTGTGTGTCCATTTTATCATTAAAATACTTAAACATTGTAGTAATTTCAATCAAGATATGATTTGTTATTTTAACATGACGTGTTTGACTCCCTCATTTCAGATTCCAAATCTCTAAAGCATTTCACCCTGTATGGAGGATCAAAGTTATCCCTTGTGATCTTTATTCAATATCACCAGTTGTGAAAAATGAATCTGTAATATAGTGAGTTGAAAATTGTTTTTTTTTGCTCACATGGCTCTTATAGGGGACAGAGGGTCTTACAGAGACAGTGTTCCCTGCATCCTGCACAGTGAGCTTATACATTACACCATTGGGAGGTGGGTGTGGGTGGGGGGGTAGATTGTCAGCAGGGCAGCCAGCCTCACTTTATCACTCTGACTCTTTGTTGTTGCTCCCCCTCCTCTCTGCGCTGATCTCATTCTAGTTGGGATCAATGTTCTGTGCTTACCACAGGCAGACCAAGAGGCTGACAGTGAGGACTACTGAATGATCAAGCAATACAATTAGATTGTCTTCTCATTCTAATTTGTCTAGAGACTGTTGATAGAATCAATGCAGTTGCTTTGTAAGCTGTCTTGTGAGCACATCTTTTTAAGCTCAGCGATCCTCCAGCAAAGGAAACAGGATGTGTGGAACGTAAACATTGTTTGGTGGGAAATAGGTGAACTGCCACCACTAGAGGCTACTGTTGATCTCTTTATAAAATACAAAGAGGCCATCGTATTACATTGCAATACAGTTGGTTTACAAATGAATCCCTTTTTAATGTTTCCACATAAGTGTTCAGCTTTTGCTTCCCTATTTTAAAGTCAAAACATCTTATTTATGTTGTTTTTTTAAATTGTTTTACTCTTTTGCTACTTCAGCTTCACTGTGGCAACATTTGTTGATTTGGAAACATAGGTTAGTAGTTATGCTGCAGCGATAAATGGAAAGTTATTAACGTGTGTTTTTCTTCTGTCAGCACATGGCTTATGGAATAAAAACAAAATGCTCCTATGGGAGGATTGCCAGTGGTTTGTATCCATATGAGGTAAACAGAGATAATGGCTTTAAAATTAGATTCTATAAAATGGACATCACTGCTGTATGTATAAATATTCAAACCATGTTTTATTTAGATTTTTTTCCTATTTAAATCACATTTAAAAAAAAAAAACTCAACATGTCCCTTAATTAATGTTTCTAGCTTGAAAAAACCCCCAATATAGCTACTTCATCTCATTGTTAAATTTTAATGTGGAATTGTAGTGTTGTAAACTATAGTCAGTATAGAAGCATATATGATAACAATACTCTTTAATCATTTTACATTTTGTCTTGTTTCAAACACAGAGGTCGGCAATGGTCAGCAATTCATGTGGGGGAAGTTTTTTTACAGGACAAATATTAATCATGTTCTCTATTTAGTTGAAGAAGTGGCTAGAGGAAAGCTGTAAGCGATCGTGTTTCATACAAGCCATATAGCACAGAAAATAGGTAACACAATGTGCCCTGGATAGGAAAAATAATATTTTAAGCCTTTACGCTAAGGACTGTATGCGGCAACTGCTGAGAACACCATACCAACCTCATAACACGATGGTGGCAGAATCATTCTGTGTGGACGCTTCTGTTTAGCAAAGACAGAGAAGCTAATTAGAACTGTTGGGACGATTCGGTTGAATACATTAAGGTAAGTTAGTTGCAGTTTTGGGAGAGTTTAAGGAAACATCCTTATATCCAGTGCAGCAGATCCAGAATTCAGAGGCATTCAATTTTGGTCACAATACATTTAACAACAATAAGACACAACATTTCTCCTTTAGTTGGCGGTAATACAAATTAAAGTGGGTATGCTGCTGCACAGAAGGGACTAGAGCTACAGCTGGCACCTAGATCTATGCATTATAGTAGAAGTAAGAACTTTTTCATGCAAATGTTACAGTAAATTCCTGCAGGTCTGGATTGTGGAGAAGCAGGCTTTCAAGGTCAAGCTGAAACCTTGGAGTAAAACATGGACATGCTTGTGCTTATCACAAAGAGAAATCGCGAATCGATTGAAAATAATCACAGTTTTGTTTTTTGACCAAACCGTTCAGCACTAACTTGAACTTTAAACCAAATTCCAGTTATAAATCTGTGGCAAGGCTTAAGAAAATGCTCCTCACTGAGACTATCCATCCAACATGACTGAGCTTGAGTTATTTCACAATGAAGACTTTTTTCGGCCTTCTGTTCAAAAACACCAACTTTACCAACAAAGGCTGTGGGTGGTAACATGTGGTTGCGACTTGATTTATTTATTATAAAGGCAGAGACAAAATAATTACTAGAAATGTCTTGCAACTTAGTCGATACGAAAACTAATGTCAATTTAATGTTTAAAGCTCCCCAAAAAATTATTAAAAAATCATTTACAAAACTTCCCGTCCACACCAGACATTTACCAAACAATCAACCTCCACCCAAATATATAAAATTCCAAAAATATAAAAAATTTATTACAAATTTTGGTTCTAAATTGACTTAAATATATCAGAAAACTAAATTGGTGGAAATTAAAAACTACAAAAATTGAGCATAAATGGCCACAATAAAGACTGGATAATAAATTTTTTTTTCTTCTAATCTTTCCATTTATCCATAAAGCTTGTTTTTAGTTGCCGTTAAGGTTTACTGAATAAATATGCATATCACAGTTTCTGAAATTTAAAAAATAAAAACCTTGAAAGTTTGAAACCTTTACAATGTTGCACTGATTTTTGTTTGTTACATGAATGCTCAATAAATGACTGTATATGAATGCTTTAGCAGAACAAAACACACCATAACGTCAGAATGTTTGTATTTTTTTCCTACATGGGAAAATTAAATATGCCACTTTAGACTAAAAACCAACTTTACATTTACTTTGTTTGTAGTCTTTTTTTTTTATTTAGAAAATTAATCATCTAGCAGCTCACAAGGACAAAAACATTTGACATCTGACATTTTCGATTTTCTCACAGTTTCTGCAGATGGAACAAGAAAATAGAGGCATAAAAGCGGCTTTTGTTATGTGTTGTTAAAAGCAGGGATGAACATCTGAGAAATTTACAGAGCAAGTGTTTGGACTGCTCTTAAAGGAAAGCACACAATCCCTGCATAAATGTACCAATAACTCTATAATTTGGCACCAAAACAAGGAACCATGGTTACACGGACACAAAGTGGCAACATTAGCTTATTCCATCCTGAAAAGGTTTTTAGATACGCTCGCTGACCGGAGAAATCGTCTGCTGACCGATGACAGTATCCTTGAGGTAACATCTTAATAAGCCACTGTGAAGATACCATCTGTTTGAGCCCACTGACCTTGTGGCCTTGCTAGAGAACTCAGCAGGAACTGAAACAATGTGATGCTGGAAACAGTTTGCTTTAGTAAAAACACGAATAACAGTGTTTGCAGTATTTTATGTGGAATAAAGGAGCTCTGCGTAGTTTTTGTCTTTGAGTGGTCGGATCAGTTTAAACTTTGCATCTATAAACTCTTTTCTTTCTTTCTTCTTTATAGGCTAACCCACCCCCCTCCCCCCTTATCCTCCCCTTCCCTCCCTTTCTACCCTGGAAGCAATAAGTAGATCTTGTTGGTGCAGACCCCCCCCCTTCATGAATCCTCCCCTTTGCACCCTTTCCCACCACTGCTACCTGAGCTGAAGCAGGTTAAGGAGAAGCTCAGATGATCCATCGGGCTGTTATGAACCACATTGTCCAAGCAGCCAGGGACAGGGAAGAGTAACTAGTGCGTGTGAGAGAAATCGCTTCGAGGTGGGGGGTGCTGTGAGCACCTTGTGAGGTCCGCCCACCAAGCCTGGCAGAAAGCTTGGCTCACCCCTTCTCTCCTCCAGCCCCTGAGATGCCCTCCCCTCCTAATGATGGAGGTAAGTAAGAGAGGCTCATTCCTCTTAGAACTGACAGGGTCACTGTATTAGTTGCTTATGCTGGATTTGTGCATACACTGAGACATAACTTAACTATACTTCCATACACCCACACTAAAACACACACACATAACAGTGGAACATAATAATTTAAGGATTATGATGTATGGAACTACACCACACAAGATGAATAATCCACTTACATTCTTCCTCCATAAACAAAGCTCTGTAAATCCCCTGCAGGAACAAGAAAAATACGTTAGCGTTGCGTTCCGCTCCCTGTTTTGGAGCACAGGCTGTGCTTGTATCTAGTTATGCTGTGTGTATCTCCTCCAGAGGATCAAGGAGCGTCCCCCATGAACGGCGGCCCATCTGTGGGCTCCTACAAGAGCAGAGGGAAGAGGAAGGCACACTCCAAAAAGAAGAAGGGCACGATAACTGCCAACATCGCCGGCACCAAATATGAAATAGGTATTCCCATGTCTTTAATGACTGAAACACTATGGATTGTTGTTGTTTTTGTGAAAGACAAAACCACATTGACAATGCAGGGGCTTTAGATAAGTAACTACCTTAGATAAATATTAAGTTATTACCATGTTCATTAAGGTATGTGGTGAAATCAACATCTGGCAGAGGGAAGCATTAAGCCCTTTAAAACGTATTCAGACCTGGGACCTGCAGACCTCTCGCAGGATTAATAGTGACAGTGGAAACCTCACGCTGGACCTCTAGCTCCTTGGATTCTGTGCCTCTCAGCTCCTCTACCATTCACTTTGGCCTTTGGAGCTCTGAGTGACATTGAATTTGGTTAGGAGGGGTTTTGCACAAGGAACACAACAATTACAGGTCATCCCCTGCCCATGCCTGTCACTGGTGGCTCTTGATGCACTATTCTAGCTGTATTTCAATACTAATAACTCTCATTACAACTCTAGGTGGGGTTCACAATCCTATCAAAGATGTTTTCACATAAATATTTTTACATACTTTTTCCTTCCACTCAACTTTTCATCAATATTCATGGTAAATTGTAAATGGCATGTACTTATATAGCGTCTTTATTCAAAACAGGAGACTTGATCAAAGCGCGTTACATTACATTCATTCACCCATTGATACACACACTCACACACTGATGGTGGCAAGCTACATTGTAGCCACAGCTGCCCTGGGGCTCACTGACAGAAGCGGAGCTGCCGTACACTGGCTTCACCAGGCCCTCTGACCACCATCAGTAGACAATGCAGGTGAAGTGTCTTGCCCAAGGACACAACGACACTGAAAGTCAGAGTCGGGGCTTGAACCGTCAACCCTTCGATTTCAGGGTGAACTCCTACATCCAACGCCACTGTCGCTGCTTCATGGTTAAAGCTCCTACCAGAGCTTCAGTTTTTGAGATTTTATTTAATATTTGATGTTTTAGAGAAATACCTAACATGAAAATATTACATAAAAATACAACATGAAATAATATTGACATTAAAAATATTGTTAAAATCAGAATACATATCTGCATTTTTCAAAAATGAAAGTCATATAATTCCTCCTTGATATACTACAATAAAAACGGTAATTTCTGATACTTTAATATGAAACAAGATATTCTCTTGTTCATAGATTATTGGCACTAATATATTTTCATTGACATGCAAATTAAAATGTTTAAGTATTAACAGCAGAATAGGAACCGTCCAAATGATTTCCATGATGTATTTTCAATAGATTGCTTTAAATCATGAACCTAAGGTAAAAACAGGTAAAAACTACTGCAAATGTATTTCTTTAACAGTTTTATTGGGTCACAATGTTGAACTAAATTTGTATTCAGCTCGTCAGTTTCTTTGTTTTTTTTACATAAAAAAAATACTAGGAGTTAGGGATTTAAACGCCTGTTTCTTCCTGTTACGTAGTAGGTTCTGTGAAAAGACCAAACACCTAAATCTAATGCCGCCTTAACTATAAAATCTGCAGAGGCAGATTTTTGTTTTTTTAAGAGTTGGCTTTTTCTTTTCTGTCTCAAATTGCACATAAACATTCGCAGGTGAGCCAAACAGCTCACACACAGACTATTTAGACGTATATACTTTACCTAAATCTACTGCGTGGTAATTTAGCTTGTTGGTGAGTTGCTGGTTCTTTTTTCCTGTTGAGGTTAGCTAAAAGAGCCGTGTAAGCACTCCTCTAAGGTTCAATATATTGCATGGCAGCAGAGTTCTCAGGGGTGAAGTACAGCCTCTGAAAGTAAGGAGTCAGCAGCAGCGTGTAGAAGACGGAGGCAGTTGGGATCCTGTCGGTAGACGGGACTCCAGCTGTGAGTCAGTCATCTAGCTGTGGCGAGAGCCTCACAGTGGCCATTCTGAGGGTAGTTCATGCCTATTTTGAGGGAGGATTAACTCCACAGGCCAGATGGATGGCTTGTTTTTGCATTGTTCTTGCATCTGTTTTTGAGAGACGATAATATCTCAGGTAAAGTTTAATGGTGGGAGAAAATGGGGTTGGGAGTGTGCGTCGGGCCCACTAAGTAGGTGTCTGTAAGCTGAAGCGTTTCAAATGCCTGTTTCGTAAGAAGCGCAAGACAGGATCTATTACAGCCCTGCTGTACTCCAGGACCTTCCTGCTAACTGTAAGCATATGTCTGCTTTGATGTAAATCTCCCTGTTCCAGTTAGCATTACACAGTTAGTCTCTGCTGACATTAACAGATGGATGAGGTCACATTGGAAACATCTATTTCCCCATTCAAGTGCCATCACGCAACATTAGGCAAGCCTTCTCCAGGTTTGTAGAAGCTTTCAAGAAATTAATTAATACGTTGTTTTGTTAGGGCATATGAATTTTTCATTAACTGCTGAATAATGAATCCTTGTAGGATTAATGTCCAAGTGGGTTGCCACCTATCTCTCATACTATATGGTTTCCGGTGGGATTTGAATGCATTACAGTCAATTAATTTATCTTTTTCAAGAGAAGCATTACGCTTTGCTGCCGCGCTGCCGTTCCATGAATAGTAAATATGGCTGCAAGTTTTTTTTTTTATCTATAACTTCCCCAGATTCATCTCTTTATGTATACACAGCAACATTTGGGTCTCGTAAAATGTTTGAGTGAAATATTGATCTGTGACGCTTGGTTAGGCTCAGGATTTAAGAGTCCAGGTGATATCATCTTCTTATTTTGCATCTAGAACTTTAAGCTTCCTCGCTCTGCAGGACGTGCCCGGTCGAGTGTTAAGTGGCAGGCCTTTTTCCAAATATACACAGGGTTTCAAAAGTTTTCAAAAATCTTTAAACTTTTTCCCATTTTGTCAATTAAAATACCTAAACATCAATGTATTTCCTTTGGATTGAACATGGTAGAGCAATAGAAAGTAGTGAAAAGCAGTGAAAGGAAACAAAAACAATGTGAGACCTATAAAGTCTGGCTTGCAGTTTAAATCCCCTCCAAATTACATCTGTCCACAAAAAAATCTTATATTTCGTAAAGATATTAGAGCCAACCTGAGTTTGGGATTTATATATCTGTTGAAAAATGTTATGCACTTCTTTGTATTGGTCTACAAGTTCCTGGTTGTTATGCTGTTAAGATGATAAAAAGTTCAAGAGATGTGATACTTTTGCACATTTTTACAAGTCCTTCAATATGTGTATTGTTGAGATTCTGCAGCTCATTGAGGTATTTCCCTTTTGCAAGAGAAATGAATGTGTTTTTAATGTTTTACAGTACGCATAGCCATCAGGGAGATGGGCTTCATCAATGCACGGGATGATGATGAGACTGCTAACCTCATCTGGAATGACTCAGCAGTGCAGCATGAGAAGATTGCTGAGCTCAGGAACTATCAGGTAGACATAACTTGTTCAGTTTTTATTGGTTCAAAACAACCGGTGAGCTCAGAGAATCTGTCTGCTTTTAATATAGTCAAGATGACGCCCATGCATCTGTGATTAAGAAAATGTTTGAACATTTGGCTCCATTTTAGTAAGATGCAAAGAAATTATATAATGATTGAAAGCTGGAAATAAACCATTTAATTGAATAACTTTCATCCCTGCAGATTCTTACTTGCAAACTAAATATGAAGTATGAAAAATAACTGCTAATTCCAAGCCTCCTTCATCTTTGAGGTGGTTTAGTTAGAAGCCTTATTTGGGTTCCTGTCTGCTTTGGGAACATGTCTCTTCATCTTGTGACAATTTGAATTTGAATTCTTAAGATTTCTTAACACTTCCTTGGACAGCAGTTAAGTGTTGGTATGTTACTGCTTCTGAGCAAATGCAAATACATGCCAGTGTTATAAAGGGAATATATACCAGTAAGTTGTTGTTTGGAATAAATAAATGAAACCGCAGCAAATCCTAAAATTCAATATAAAATGTTGTTTTTAATTATAATTTCTGCAACACTTTATTTCTCAGTTTTTGCTCCCCTGCTGCAATCCTTATGCATTCACCCAACGTACCTCAGCATGCTCCACATGAGCAGAGATAAATACTCTTGTGTCTGCTTGCTGCCTCTACCTTCTTCAAATCCCACCAACGCTCACTATAGGTATCCTCGTTCTGCCACATCCTCTTGCCAAAGCCGCTGTTCCAAGTTTCTGAAAATGAAATAAAACGTCACTTGTTCTGGACTTTATCAGGCACACTTACCACAACAAATAACCCATCTGGTTGGTTAGACCAGATGTCGTCGAGATCACTCCTCGTTCTTGTTAGAAAAACTGAATGTGGATAATGTTAGTTTTATATATACTAGCATCTTTATGTGTTTATTGGAAGCTTATGAGCAACATTCAGTTTTACAAACAGACCTAATTAGCCTTTGGGTTTGATTAAGTTTGATTCAGAATGTAGAGCGGGCAGCTCAGTAACTTAGTTATACATTTTTCAGAAATCCTGGATCTTCACCTTGGTAAGTTGGCAAGAAAGACAAAGTTCTACTGGAGGACCGAACCAGGAATCTCCCATACAAGAAAAGGGGGTCTTTATCTGACCACATGCAGTAGTGAGACTCAAAGTAGTTTAAACTACATATATTTCTTTCTGATTTCTTAGGTCTGGGGTTGTGATTCCTGCTATAGGAACACAAGTACACAGAGTAGCCCATTCCTCCAAACAAAAGACCTTAAAGGTATAGTGGAGGATTTTCATGAATTTTTTAAAAGGCCCGCCCTCTCCACTTTAAAAAAAATATGCACATGCAAAACCCTGTACCTGCTCCCGAGATGAAACGCCTATTAAATGCGTGCGAGAGCATGCATGAGCCCATTTCTCCTTGTGCATGCTCTGTTTAAAAGTTGCTGTTTGCATCCCTCATACCAGCTTACTTTCCAAAAGATTTGCATTTTTTTCCACTAAATCAGACTCACCACCATTAAGTGAAAATGGGCACGAGCATGTAGGACGGCCTTACGCAAACATATCACCAGAATGATTGACAATTAGGAGGACTACTTAATTTGATGATCCACCCGGAAAAAGAACATCCTCCATTATACTCCATTATATTCTTTAAAGGTCCTTTATCGTGCTTTTTATAATAATAATTAATTCCTTTAGAACTATCTGTGCATTATTTTGCAAGGAAATATAGCTGTTATTTTCCAGCCCTAAAAAGAACTACCTGTCGTCAAAGCGCAGCTTCCCTTCTCCATCTTTGTACTACCCAGATCATGGCGTTACCATATCACACCTCTTCTGAAGGCTGAACAAAGTCAGAGACCTCAGTCGATCCAAAAAACAGATTTTCACAATTTAGAGAACATCAACAAAAGGAAAGTTGCAGCCTTGTGCTGATTAGCTGCTAAAGGATCTTTTTTTTTTTAGTAGAATCTTCTCACTATGCCTCACAATACCACTCCCTGATCGGGAAAAGTGGCCATTTGTTTACAGTCCAGGCAAACGCCGGTTAAGGCAGCTGCTTCCTTGAGGAGAAATTTTTATGTAGATACTCGTTTTCACAGGACAGAGAGAACAGAACTTATAAGGATTACTCAGACAAGCCTGAATCAAGCGAAATACCACTTTGTGCCTCACTCAAGGGATAGCATAATAACATAGTTAAAAGCTACAGAAAGTTGATTTTGCATGATATAGGCTCTTTAACAGCATTTTACCAACGACCGAACTTGGCCTTAAGGCTGCACCTTGGTCACCCCCTCCTTTAGATAGTTGTTTATGACCGTTTATTACTGATCAGTCTGCAGTTTTGTTGCAGAAGTTATTTCATGTAAAAGATGTTTGAAAACTGACTGAGGTAAGCATACATAGCAAGAGTAACTTAATCATGCAAATATAATATAGCATGGAAAAAAAAATTGGAGCTATTCGAGTGTTTTATTGATTTTAAACAGCATTACCTTCCCATCAGTTTCTCTGGCTGCTTATGTTTACATTTCATTTTGCAGCCCATGTTCAAGTGGATCAAATGTGTCAGCAGGCGTTGGACCTGTCACTTTAATCTAACATAAACATTATTGTATATAAAACCACTCCCAGTGCAAGTAATAATTTCCTGAAACGCCATAAATTGATGTGATGCTTTATTTTATTCATGGGCAAAACTGTACATCAACAATAGAGTAAGTCTGACAAAATGGTAAAGTACTATATTGTTTTTGGTTCGGCTTACAGTGCCTTCCAAGCATATTTAAACCTTCTGAACATTTAACATTTTGTCACTTAAAAAAAAAAAAAACTTCAATGTAATTTGTTATAAACTAAAAACATAGCTGTAAAATAGAAGGAATAGATATACAGCTGCATGTTCTTTGGGGTATATCTTTACGTCAGAGAGTCCATTGTTCTTTGCAGTATAGCTCAGGCTCAATAACCTGGCATGAGCCAGATGGAAACATGTAGTTAAATTTAAATTCTTCATAGCCTCCATCTGCAAAGGTTTCGGGTGGAAAGCGTGTTCGTAAAATGGAGGGACATTAAATACAATTCTTGGAGCTGATTGGGTAACACCAAGTGGAACCCGCCTCTCATGTCGACATTTTAGCCAATCACAGCAGCAGTAGAACCTGTCACGACTACTGGAGTTAATTGATAAATCAAACATCTCTCTCAACCACAAAGACACAAATTAGATCATTTTCCCTGTTTTTTCAATAAAGAAATNATGTTTCACAACTACTGGAGTTAATTGATAAATCAAACATCTCTCTCAACCACAAAGACACAAATTAGATCATTTTCCCTGTTTTTTCAATAAAGAAATAAAGGGTATTCCAGCGAAAACAGACAGAGTAACAGAGTCTACAGATACATTTTGCTTCAGCTTGCTGCTACTGTTTGATGTCTTCATTCACGTTCATTGGTTCAAAACATATCTGTATTCCAGGCTAATGCGTCTACTGACTTCTGGAATTTTTGGGAATTTTTGAATTTACAAATCTTACAACAATTTGTCTTGCTTGCAAGGTAACAGGGTCAATCCGATTGCACAGAAGTGTCCGTAGACAGAAAATTTCAAGTCTTGCCAAAGTTTTTAAAATAGAGGTAGGCCTTGATTTTGGGCCATTGTAGAATTTGGTAGCTCTTATACTCTAACTAGTGTTGGTATCCTCCTGGAAAGTAAACCTCCTCCCCAGTCTCAACTCAAGTCTTTTGCATCCCTTTAACAGAATTATTTTGAATTCCCTTAGATTTAGAAATAACTTCCCTGGACATATTTAGAAAGTTAGTTATGATTATATGCTGCAAATTGCAGTTCAGAGTTCTAATAGTTTTCTTTAAACATTGACTTTCTTCTTGTCATTCTTCCTGAAAGATTTGTCTAATCTGTAATGGAGAAATGTGAATTTCTGCTCCTAAAGAGTTACCATTAAGCTTTTTGGTTACCGGTACCTTTCTAACTTCTTTCAAGCCTCTTAGTCCTTCACAAAACAACTGTATTCATATCCCAGAACAGCTGTATTTACACTTAAAGTACATTTTCCATTATTTGTACTGAAAAGTAATTGGTTGCCCTGGATTTCATTTATATGTTTTGAATTAAAACGGGAAAATAAAATATGTATGGCAAAACTTGCCTGATTATTTTGTGTAAAATTGAAACCAAATAATTTAAGATTGCAGTAATTCTGAGCGTCATGCTTTGTGCAGATAAACTAAATTTCTGCAAACCTATGTTTCAAGGCATGTGAACATTTAAAAGGATTAAAAGGCTCCATACTGTATGTTATAACTTGTTGAATGGTTGAAAATGATTTTCTCATTATCAATATTTGTCAAGAGGTAGATGATGAAAATCAGCAGAGAATAGAGATAACACAACGAATGCAACCAAACACATATTTATCGTTAACAGTAATAGGAAAGTGTGATATTCAGTACAATAATCATGAATAAATGAGGAAAAAACAGGAGTGGGAATTCCCAGCTGCTCTTCCTAAGGCACAAAGATAACCGCTATGAAAAAATCATGGACATAGTAAAAAACTTCAACAGAGGCTATCCAGAGATTGACAGGTAGACTGACATGCTGTGCACAACTGGGTCTGCCTTAGCAGCTTTCAGATGTCACTAGTGATGTTGATAAGACGGGTCTTAACAACAACGGTTGCTCTGAGTTTCCTGGTTGGTCTGAGAGTGATTTTACCTCTGTTTGACCCCCCCCCCCAGTCTTGCTCAATGAACTTGGCTGCCCTCCCGTAGCTGTGAGTATTAGCTATCCGTCTCCCTGAATGCTTATTTGATTAGACTGGCCACTAATGATCGATTAAATCACAAGCTAGTCAGGAAGCCTTGTTAAGATAGGGGCACTAAGAGTTCAGCGAAGAAGATGGAATATAGTGAATACTGTAGCTGCTTCATATGTTGCAATGCTGCGAGTGTTACACATTGAACAGATGCTTTGCCTTTCTTTTTTGGGTTTGTTTCTTCATGGTAGCGTGGCACCCATGAGCTGAAATTTTAGAAGAAAAGTGAAACTCCCTCAACAATTGGCTTTGATTTGCACTTACATGCCATCTAGTCTTGCGGCACTGGGATAATTGTACAGTCTCTTCCGAATCTTTAATTACATCTGTCTCATTTGGATAATAATAACGCTTTTCTTATATGCTTTGTATTGTATTTTATTTCTTTTACCTCTTTATTTCCCCTTATTGTAAAATTGTCCTCTGTTTTTTTTTTTTCAGTGATGCACTTTGAGAGTTCACTGTCAGATTTTCAGTTTGTACGAGCCTAATTACCACCCCTGTTCAGGCTCATTTGGTCAAAGAATACAGAAAACTCTGAGTTTTTTTCTTCTTTACATCCACCCCCTTTCGGCACATTCAAAGCAATTCATTCAACTGTCACCGTAGGAGCTTGCGATGCAGAACCAATTACCTTGCCCCCTCTGAGTAGAGATTGATCGTATTTTTTCGCCCCTCTTCCCTCCCCAACCTTTAAAGTATTAAAAAAAAAACATGGTAAACTAAATAAGGGTTGAGAAAGGTCTCAGCGTCACCTTTTTGTTTTGAGTCTGTAATTGGGCATAAATGTCAGAACATTGTAAGCTCACTTCAGGTTGCTGCCTTTAATGTGCTCATTTTTATGAAGGGGTGGGGGTGGAATTGAGTGGCTTAATGGCCCTAACAACATTATTATGTCTGCCTGTCCCTCTGCAGAGAATTAACCATTTCCCTGGCATGGGCGAAATCTGCCGGAAAGACTGCCTCGCAAGAAACATGTCCAAGTGAGTTTTTTTCCTTATCCCTCTTTAATATGTGCATGTGACCGCTTTGGATCCGTTACAGGGAAGCGACGCAAGCATCCGACTGCCTGCTGGTATTTTAAGAACTTACAGCTGGGTACTTGTAGCACTTCACATTTCAAAGCAAATGGTCAGGTCCGCTTTGAAAGCACAACATTCATTTTTTAATTTGAAAAAAAAAAAAAAAAATAGAAAATCCCAAAAGTGCCAGACTTAACTGGCAGATTATTCTAAAACGATAAGTAATTGCTTCTTGGAGAAAATTATACTTGCACACTTCCTCTTTTTTTTCTTGCAGAATGATCAAGTGCCAGCCTCAGGAGTACAGCTTCATACCCAAAACCTGGATCTTCCCCGCCGAATACACTCAGTTCCAGAACTATGTCAAAGAGCTGCGCAGGAAACGCAAGCAGAAGACCTTTATTGTCAAACCTGCCAATGGAGCCATGGGTCATGGGTATGTCAGTGGCTATAGCAAGTCTCCTTGAGTAATCTATATGCATTGACTGCAGGGCTGACCGAGAGAGCAAGGGTAAAAGTAGAGGAGGGAAAGGAAAGGGAGGGGGGAGTAAATTAGCAGCAGAGCAAATAGAGGACAAACACAACCAAAACAAAGCAATAAGGGGTTTGTGACCCTGGCATGGGTGTCTATGGAAATTGAGAACGGCTGGTAACAGATTGAGTATTAGAGCTGAGAGGGTGTGGCGAACCTCATTGTGGGGCTTCATTGTCTTCGATGGTCACCCCGGCCATAAATCAGTGGTTATCACTGCCAGTGGGGGCCACACACAAATGCTCATGGTCTCTGGCAACTACTGTAGTTCCTCCCCTCAAGGTCTCTGCATGTGATTATTGGATTCCGTTATGAGGCACCATCAGCAAAGGGCAGTCAGACTAGAAAATGGACAAAGATGGCTGCTGCAGGGGAACATGGACTCTCAATAGCACCTCTTTATCAAACGATGGGCTGAATGTAGTACCTGAATGCATATTTCATACTTTCACTCCCATGGGGTAAGAAGTAAGCTCAAGTTGTGAGGTGTGAATTTTCATTCTGGATTTTGGCATTCTGAGAGAGAAGTCTGGAAGCATTTGTCCATTATTCCCTGAATAGAAAAGCTGGTCTAACTGTCTCCTGCACCCAGCTTTGCTCAGGAGTTTAAAATAGATGTATTCACTGAGTAACTTCCTCTTTTTGTATTTTATTTGATTTACCAACAGTTAGTAAGGTGGGACTTTAGTAAAAGGAAAAGGATAGATAGGATATGTCTTAATCACTGTTACTGATTGAGGGAGTAGTTTTTGAGCACATTTATTTTTGCAAAATGGCTAAAGCCACATTTAAATTAAAAAGAGACTAAAGCCTTTCTGCAATTTCTCAATTGGATTTACCGCAATTTTCGGACTATAAGTCGCAAGTTTTTCCCCATTTTTCGACCTTGCAGCTTATATAACAATGCAGTTTATCTATGGACTTTTACAGCTAACCACCACTAGAGTAATACCTAAATCTATGGATTTTACCATCCACCATGTTGACGTCACATTTGCTTCAACACACAAGTACGGTAGCCGCGCGCGTGGGAATTCGGAGGTCCTCCGGAAGCAGACTTCTACCGCGAGTGGTACGAGACAGAACGACAGCGAGAAAGACGGACATTGCAAGCGCAAGACAGTTGGTGTGTAAACCTAAAAACTTGCGGCTTATAGTCCGGTGTGGCTTGTATATGTACAAATCATGTAATTTAGCTTCAGCGGCTTATATTCAGGTGCGGCTTATAGTCCGAAAATTACGGTAGGTCTTTGCTTTGATTGAGTCATTTTAACAAATGAATTTACTTTGAACCTTTACATGTAGCGCTGTCAGTATGTTTAGGGTTTGTAAGGTGTGTCCATTCTTCAGTCATGACCTGCTTCCCTGCCCCTGTCTCCCCTCAGCATGATGCTGTCACCACCATGCTTCATGTTGTTGATGATGTCGTCAGGGCAGCATTAGTTTTCCTCCAGGTTAAACATTGTGCACATTGGCCAAACTGTTCAGTTTTAGTATGTCATCAAAAAAAAAGCACTTTCTTGTGCACAGTGTCTCTTTAATGGCTCTTGGCAAACTTCTTATTGCTCTGTTGTTTTAACCTATAGTTATCTTTCTAAGACACTACTTTGTGTTTGTCTATCGATAAAAACAGATTAATGGCCTCAAGTTTATGGTCGTAAAATTGATAAAATGTGAAAAAGAATGGGTGTTGATACATTTAGACGGCACTTCATATTCAATAATAAAGTGAAATTACTTGAAATTCATGCTTTTATATGTCCTGGAACCTGAACAGGTTACATCATCTTCCCACAAGCATTGCCAATAAAAACTGAACATTATAAGGCTCAGTAAGCATTTGATCTTTGCTTTAAGTGGTGGGGACTTTGATATTGATCACAAAGCTCTCTCAATTTAAAAAGAATTAGAGGAGTAGGATGAGATCTGGCTATCTGGGCTTTTCTGGGTGTTCCACTGACTGAGGAGAAATGAGAAGAATCCAAACATTCTTAGGGAAGTTAGGAAGTTTATTCGGGGAAAGGAACATTGAGACACTTCAATGTTCACCGATTTGTGCTTTGTAAATGATTTTTAATCTAAAAGTCTAAAAAAGCTCTCATTGGTACAAAGAGTTGAAATTCTTTTTTATCTTGTTTTTCCCCATGGATTCTAGTTATTCCTCCTGAAGAAGAGCAATTATTAATAAAAAAAATGTGAAGACTACAGAGAAAAAAAAAGTAAAAAATTAAAGTTTTGTAAATAATTTGGCTTCATGAGATAAATTTTAAACTACAAGAGAATTCATTTTAACTGAAGTGAGAAGGAACTTTTTAGCTGCCTTGAGAAACCCAGAAAGAGTTCCTGTGGCAAAATATTTATTAAGCTTTCTATTCCACGTTCTGTTCTCTGAAAATCTGATCTCTGAGACGAGTGTGCATCAGGAAATACAGTGGGCTGACTTCATCACTTGCACCAATAGGTGGGGATATTGAAGTACAAATAGCTTTGTGTGCCCCACCTCTTCCTCTAGTTCTCTTTGAATTTGTCCTTTCTGGTATAATGTGAGCATTACTTATAACTCCATGCTTGTACTAAGCCCTTATTTATTAAAGAATAAAGGCTGAATTATTGCAATACATTAAGAATATGAAAGATGATGAGTTTAGCTCGACCACTCAGTGGCAGGCGGCTCACAAAATTAGATTTTTCTCTCTTTTTTTTCCCCTGTGGTGTGACGCGGCAGGAAATTAAGTTATATCTACCCCCTGTAATTTATTTTTCTGTCGGCCAACTAAATGAAGTTATTGTTTATGTCTGAAGCCTAGCTTGTTATAAGGCGAAACAAAATAAAAGCGCATGCGAAGCTTAAAAAGGCAAGCTCCCCTCCAGTGTCATATTAAATAGGCAGGGGGAGAGTGGGCTGTGATTATCTGACACCTCAGCTCATCAATCATGCCGTCTTTTCCTCAGCTACTTCAGCTCCACTAACTAACGCTGTTAACCCTGTCCTCATCAGTCAGCCTGCTGTCAGCCAGCTAAGAGGGCGCCTTACATCGTCGGTCAGGCCCGTAACAACTTCCCTCCTGCTCGTTTTCATTCAAGTACTCTGATAAGCAGGTCAGTGAAGTGGTCATTTGTAGGGCTGCAGCTTTTTTTGGCAGGAGTAAGACTGATGTAGATAATCTACGGAGGGATCTTCCATATTATTGGTTTGAGGGACAAATAAAGTTTTTCATTTCTCCATTTAAAGGTGAATAAAAGGTTTTACTTTTTCCATTTTTCTGTTAAGTTTTTTAATACAAAAAATGCTTTTAGCTTTATAGATACACTGTTTGGATAAATCAGTTGATAAGCAGGTGTAACTAGAGGCATGGCATGATGAATTCAGATGAATAAATGGCCTATTTTAGGAGGGGTTAAAGTATATATTAATATTGACAGCAATTTTAAATCTTTTTTTACACTGTAAAATTAACCGTTAAGGTTTTGACAGTTAAACTTAAAGGTATAGTGGAGGATTTTTGTGAATTTTTCAAAAGACCCACCCTCTCCACTTTAAAAAGAAAATATGCACATGGAAAACCCTGTACCCGCTCCTGAGAGGGAACGCCTATTAAAGCCTATTTCTTCTCGTTCACACTCTGTTTAAAAGTTGCTGTTTGCATCACTCATACCAGCTTACTTTCCAAAAGAAGATTTGCAATTTTTCCACTATGTCAGACTCACCGGTAAGTGAAAATGGGGACGAGGACGTAGGACGGCCTTACGTAAACATATCATCAGAATGGTTGACAAGTAGGAGGACCACTTATTTTGATGATCCACCCTGAAAAAGAACATCCTCCATTATACCTTTAAGAGTTGGCAGTTTTTTCTGTTTAAAGGTGATTGTCGTTCATTTTATGACAGCATGTAATTCACTGCAGTGAAGATACAAGGTGGGGGGGAAGCAGGAAATGTTTGTGAGCCACGTGTCTAAAGACACCAAAATTGTGGGTGACCACAGTTGTTGAAGAGGCAGGGGTAAGATCTTTCCACAATCTGCAACCCGCTTTTTTATACATGTTGGCTTTATTTACTTTGGTATTAATAGACCCAGGGCATAGCACCACGTTGCCACCAGGAGGTCAGGACACCATGGCCTAAAGATTGTTTTCTTACATTTTGGATTTCCAAAAGGTTTCACTATAGCATGTTTCATGACAGAGATATGTGGAAAACTCTAAGGCAGGGGTCACCAACCTTTTTAAGAATGAAGGGGCAGGTTCATGGGTACTGAGTCACAGGATGGGGTACTAATATTGACATATGAACTGGAGGAGTCAGAGTTCACCTAAACTTCATTGAAAATAAACCTATTTCTATTGTTTGCTTACATTTCTAATTTGCTTCTATATATTGCCAGTTTGAAATCCTTGTAAATGCTTTTATGCTCTAAATTATTGATATGATGAAATGCTCTATTAATGATAAAACATAACAGCAGCAGCAAAAAATAACATTTCAAACTTAGTGCACTGGAGAGTTGTTCTTTTTTCATAAGATGCTGAGGGCACCCCATGTGGTCCTTGAGGGCTACTTAGTGCCCGCGGGCATCCCGTTGGTGACCCCTGCTCTAAGGGATCAAACTTAGAAGGTTAACTGTATCACATTCTGATTATCTTTATCAATATTTTAAAACAACAGAGTTTATTGACCAGCTTCTTCGTGCAATTAATGGGAACAAAATCACAGCTGCAGGTTCTTCCTTATTTATTTTTTTCATTCTCAGTTTTACACAAGCACAGGACATGTAAAAGATGCTGTGTGGACAACTGAATTATCCACATGTGCTTCATTTGAAGTGAATAACTCGTGCCTTTTAAAAAGCACAGAATCAGTTTGAGCTAAAGAATCCTAAAAGCATCTGGATGAAGTTTTTTGATGTCAAAAACAGTAAAGCATCTTATTTACTTTTAGCATAAATGGTTTTAATCCAAATTCTGACAAATTGCTTCGGTCAGGGATTGTTTCCATAATTGAAGGAGTTGCTCCCAGCTGGCTTCCAAAAATATAAACTCTCTCCAAAGAGCCGTGATCCAGTCCCTAATCTCTCTCAGCTTGAATCAACTTTATTTGATCGATTTATTCTAAATTGCTTCTTGCCCCTTTTTTATAACTATTAAATAACTTACCAAATTTAAAAATAGCTAAATTGCGTTTCTGTCCTACCATAAAAAGAGTCCACACTGAAAAGTTTTATTAGTTGACTGATTAGGAAAACATAGTGTTTCTGAAGGGCCAGTGTAATATAAGCAGAAAATTGTCAGAATCAAGCATATTTCTGCGACATAGGCTGGATAATTTCATTACACTTTATGTTCTGTCTGTAATTACAGAAAGCAGAGTCATGTTGCTACCGCTATATGTCTATACATCAGGCTGCAACAGTCAGGTCCACACATCTTGGATCAGTCCTACTACTTGCATGTGTACAATGGAGCCTGTCAGGCTGCTCATGCAACCAATTTAGATTAAGTCAGTCCTAACTATGAGTGATGGGTGAGATAGGTCAGTTGCAAAAGCTATTACATAGTGGAAGATTGTTCAGAAATGACCCCACACCCTCTCTCTGCACAAAAAAACACTATCCTAAAAGGAAAAAACTGTGCAACCACATGAATGTCCACAAAATAACGCAGCCCATTCTTTACTCATGTTAGAAACGACCTGCATATTATACGGCTTGAGTGCCAGTGACATGAGGCCAAAGCAAATGAATCAGAATGGAGCTTGAAACGGAGCGGTGTCTGCTCCCATTAACCTGCACCCAGGTTGAAGTCCCAGAGAGCAGCCGACGTACTTTCCTGTGCAGAAAGAGAGGAATTTTTCTTTGAAGAAAACGCAATGTTCTCCAGATGCTCATGAGAATGGCTAAGATGAAGCATCATTCAGGCTGTACTTGTTTTTTTTTGACATTTGAAAGATCAACAGTGAAAAAATGTGCCACAAACATTCCGGCCATCTAATAGCTCCAAAGAAACACTTTCTTGCTCAAAGCTGCCTTGTAGCATACTTATTTTTTTTATTTGTGAATTTGTGGTTTCATATGGACACCAGGTTTAAATTCTTTATTGTGAGTTTTAAAATCTTTCCCTGCATGGTATGGACGTATTTTAATATCCTCTCCCCATGATTGCATCTATGGTGTGTATAATTTATGGTTATTATCCATTTCCTGAGCAGGGGAAACTGCAGGCCAAAGTTAATCTTTGGACATAAAGACAGATAGTATCAGACGAATGGGCAGGAGTGGGGGGAGGACATCCCTCAACTCTTTTAGATGACTTTCAGATGAAATATTGTAATGAAACATCCAAAATCTGTATCTTGTTTGCCCCAATTTTCTGACTTCAATATGCATATAAGAGAGCACCAGTGTCATCATTCATATTCATAGTCACTACTATCCTCCCATCTGTCATTTTTTTAATTATCTTTACCACGCCATTTTTTATTATGCCACCATAATATGCCCCCCAAGGATTAATAAAGCCTCTCTCAATCCAGGATCTCGCTTATCCGTAACTGTGAGAAGCTGCCAGCCCAGGAGCACTTTATTGTTCAGGAGTATCTGGACAAGCCCTTCCTGATGGAGGGCTACAAATTTGACCTGCGCATCTACATCCTGGTCACTTCCTGTGACCCGCTTCGCATTTTCTTGTACAAAGACGGCTTGGTTCGCATGGGCACCGAGAAGTACCACTCACCCAACGAGGCCAACCTGGTGAGTCAGAGGATCTTTATTTGTGTGCCAATTTTCTGCAAGCAGATTTGAAAATGCATACACCCACACAGTCATAGATACATTGCTTTTAAATCATAGCAGCTCAGTGATCCCTGCAATGAATATTTAAATTTAATTACATTTTTTACTATGTGACATAATAATAGACACAAAAAACATGGAAAATGTGACCTAAAAATAACCACTTAGCAGGTATTTACTCCTATAAACACTCAGCAGGGTACGGTCAAAGCTGTCATTTTTTTCCTACGCATGCACAGAATGTGTGGACAGATTGTACACATGCAGCTGAGCAAAAATGTCTTCCTGCCAGATGTTTTCTGTGATGTCAAACCATTCATATTTGCCTTTAGGTTCTGCACCTGCTGAAACACAGACTGTTGCAGATAAAAGGGGATGTATACGTTCACATGCGCACAGCTTTCATTCAAGCAAGATACATGCTTGTGTTAAGCATACACTCACACATGTATAGAGATGCTGGGCTCCTACAAAGACACAAGCTTGTATTGTCTCAGTGAATGACACATGATGGAGCGAGCGGCATCATGGAGATGGATGCTCCATTCCTCGGAGAGCGGCCTCCTGAGAGCCATCCGGGGCTGCAGTGGCCTGCAGGCATGGCGTTAGTCTTTGTCGGATGGGGACAAGGATGTGTTGTCTTTGAGTTTGAAGGATGGTTTGAAAGGACAGGGGTAGAACAACAGTTATAGGGTGGACAGCTGTTGTCATCTCGTTCAGTGATGCACAGCCTATGAGAACAAATGGTTTGCTCTGTTCCTACTGAATTCTTGTAGTCTCACTACAGTTTACTGTGTTGTTTATTGTTATTCTCCAAACTATAAATGTTATTTTGGAAGCTGTTTTTTATCAAATAAATAGCTTTTTTTTCAAAATGTTGTAAGACATTTGATCTGAAATGTCATTTGGAATTTTGCTAATTACAGCATCTATAATTGTTCCCAGTTTGTTGAAAATCTGTAGGTAAATAATTAGCTGGCAGAGAAATGTTCTCACAAATATATAAAAGTTTTAGCCAGTTATCACTAAAGGCTGCTCCCTTTAGTGGAGTTGTTACCTCTCAGGTTATTTTTCAGGTATGCATTATAGCATAGATGTTTAGGTAATAGCATCAGGGAGCAAGAAGGAAAATGTAAACATTTCTCAAAGCAAAGGGATTCACGATTCCCGAACCTTAATAGTTTGTCATATTAGAGTCATACGTTTGCTCATATCTTTTACCACATTTTATATGACAAGCAAATGCAAATCAGTATAAATTATGAACAAGAAGTCTAGGTCTAGGTCTAGTTTTGGATTTCTTAAAAGTCAATGACTTTTCAGATAAATCTGATCTATTGACCAATATCTGTTTTTTTCTCCTTATTATAGCTTAAGCTTAATACAGGCTGGATTAAATGATTTCTCATAGACAATTGCTCAGTCTCACCTCATTCTGACTTGTATTTAGGTCTGGATGTAAACTGTGGCATTCTAACTAATGTTAACTGTAAAAGACAGTGTGACTGAGCCACTCCACCCTAAGGCCTTTGGGTTGTCCTTGTCCCAGCATGATGCTGTCACTACAGTGTGAGATGAGCACACAGTGTGCTGTGTTGGTAATCTGTTGCACATACCTTATTGCATGTAAGGCATAAAGTTTAGGTCTCTCTTTTTGGATTTTCACATAGTAACTATATACATACTGTGAGGGAATATATTAGATTGATTCTATTTACTCATAAGTGGACTTTGGTACAAATTCATGCTTTTATTTGTAAAATATAAGTCGAAGTCTGACCAAACCCCACTAAGTAGTTATGGGAGTAGAAACATGTAGAGTGCAAATTTTTTTATTATTATAAATATTTCCAAAGGTGTCAAAAAAATGTATATTTATTACTCAAGTAGAAGTATAAATCCTATTGTTTAAAAACTCTTGTAGAATTTAGAGTATTTACTTAAGCTTTTTACTCAAGAAAAAGGGTAAATGTACAATTTTAAAACTAAAAGTATAAGTAATGCAGGAAAAATTTTAAGAAAAGATGCTTCAAACCTTATATGGGGTACCGCACAACACTATTAAAGGAACATTTTTCCACAGTTTTTGATGATGATTTACTTATAATTAGTTTTCTTAGTTTTATGACTAATAATCAGAACTATTTATTTTGGTATGTGAACAACAACCACAAAGAAATTAATTTTCTGGATGAAAGAAATTATTTTGAGTTTTTTTTTTTTTCCAAAAAGCCATAACAAAAATTAACTTATATGAAACAAAACTAAGGAGTCTATATAAATAATTCCTCCACTAAAGTATAGATGGCCAAAATTTCTACTTAAGTAAGATAACAAAATATTTGTACTTTATTGCTTTACACCTCTGATCATTTTGATAGGGTTGACAAGATTCAGGAAAGAAAATGTTCCTATGTTTGCTTCTGTGACTTTCTTTCTCCAGAGCCAGCTCTACATGCATCTGACAAACTACTCTGTCAACAAACACAACGAAAACTTTGAGCGAGACGAGACGGTGGACAAAGGCAGCAAGCGGTCCATCAGCTGGTTCACTGAGTTCCTCCGTATCAACGACTATGATGTGGCCAAGTTCTGGGGAGACATCTCAGTAAGATAAAAACACATCAGTTTCAGATATTTACTTTCACTAAAGGAAAGGGAATGTGTTAGAGGAGAAAAGCAGTCCCTAAACACAAACAATGTCCTCAGCTATAAACTCCATGTGTACTTTGATATATACACACAGGCTGCTCCTATCAACCAACTCAGGGCTGCGGACAGTACTTAGGTTGACTAGATGAGGTTTGATTTGATTGGATATGACACTGATTCAGGGAGCTTGTTTAACACTCAGAGGAAACATCATTCCTGCAGGATGAGCTTTTCCTTTGGAACTCAACTCACACCTCAACCATTTTCATTTACTTTCATCATCGCCAGTTTGGAAGATTCTTCAGTTTTTTTTCTTTATTTAGCCCTTTTCTATCCCTGCTGTTCATTTTCGTTCCATTAAACCATCTCTTTGCGATTCTGCTCATGTTTTTTCTCACCATTTTCACCCTGACTCTTGGTACATAGTCATATGGGTTGCCCACTGATGCTTGTTCTCACCTCCCTACTTGACATGCTATGCTTGTATTTAAAGGAATTCTCATTGGCTGATGTTTTCTTCTCAATGAACAATTGTTCTTTTCTTCATAAGCACCTTTTCTTCTTTTTATTAGCTTTTTACTCTCCTTGTGTTTACATTTTCCTTTGTTCCGAGTTCTGAGAGGAAAATTAGTTTTTATCTCATAAAAATCTTGTCTTTGTTTTTTTTGGTACTGTTTATGATCCTCAACTTTGTTTCATTTTAACTTGGTTTTCTCTCCTCACAACAAATTTCCCTCTGGTAAAGACCAAGTATGCTGATGGGACTCTTGCTTCCAGTGTGAACATCTGAGATTTGTGCTTCCTCTTTAAATATGTTGTTTGAGGTTGTGAAACACATTGGGCATAGTTTTTATTTTTTTATTTTTTTATGTGAACTGCCAAGTTAATGGGGCCAGCGTAAGGCCAAATCCAGTCTAGCAATTTATTTTACTGATATTGCCATATATAATCACCATCCGGTCATGGTGACAACAACACAATTTGATGTTTATACATGTACAGTGTATAGAATACTCACACTTAGTAAGTGTCCTTTATTTGTTTAAGAATAATTTCCGAAGAAGTGTAGAGATTTCCGAAAGAATTCAGACTACAGTACGGCAAAGACAAAGAGAGAGCAAAGGTTTCAGTTCATACTCACTGCTCATCTAGGTACTGGAAGGTTCCCATGGATTTGAAAAAATTGGAAGGATGACAGTGAGATTTTCCATTTACAAGAGAAAACACATGACTATTTTTCTCGATGATGCACAGAATATGATGTTTCCTTATATGTATATGGGATATTACATACAAGGCTAAAAAAACATTCCATTTTTTTTATTTTTAGCCTTTAAAGAAAAAATTTAACTGGCATGTCCAAGCTTTAGAGAAACTAGAATTTGGAAAGTCAGCCTTTCCACTTCAGATAAGAAATGTGTACTTTGTTTTTTTAACAGCTTATTTTACGACTAGACATTTAGAATCTCCAATGAAGTTCCTCACAGTCATACATAGCTGATACTCTGCTGTTTCATTTTTTTATTTATTTTTTTCTTGGATTTGTATGTGGTATATACAATAAACATATAGATTATATGTCTTGTCTGCAGCTTTAATGCTTGTGTAGACCATTAAGAAAAAGACAGATTTGTCTTTGGTTTATGCGCAATTTAAACGAAAACTGAATCACAGAAACTAGATCACAAAATCACAGGGCTTATGATATGATTCAGAATGAATGTTTATGTTGAGGAAAACCATTTAAACAATGCAACATTAAAAAAATAAATGTAATTTGCATTGAAGAGTCCGAATGAGTTGGATGAATAGGCACATTTGGACAAACATGGGTAACCTAGTGCCATTTTTTTGTGCCACAGGGTAAGGTGAGAGGTGATTTGGGCAGGACAAAGGACAGACAAACACACACAGAGCTGGTGTTGGGGTCTTGGGGTACAGACATGTTTAGGGGAGTAGGTTATGGTGCTGAATAGCCTGGGGGTAGACAGTGGATGGCTTGACATATACATGATGGTACATGAGAAACACACAGAGGGAAAAAGGATCAGGAGGGTGCAGCCTTATCAGGCTAAGACCAGACCACCTCATCCCCTCTCTCTTGCACCTAGCAGTCAGACTGGACTGGGCAAAATTGCAGGGCAGCAGCACTGCAAGGCGCCTGCCTGGTAAAGAGAAGCTTTGTGAAAAGTGTTTACGTGTTTGTCAGATTGAGCATGTTTCCCACAGTGTTGTAGGCCAATAGGTAGCAGCCAGCAAAGATTTGGGCAAACACAGATGCATGCAGGTTGGATACCACTAGAAACACAGATGGAGCAGCATCAACAGTGGAGAACGTCTGTGTTTGAAGGGAATTCAAAAACAATCAGTGCCAATTACACTGTCTAATTATCAGTTGGTAATAAATAAGCAGTGAAAAGAAATAATCTTAGAGTAAACTGTAGCAGTTGTTGTCTCCTCTTTAGAGACTACATATCTTGGTCAAGATTGTTGCATACATTTTGTCTTGTAATTTTACTGATTGTTTTTAAAAAGTCATGTAGCTTTTGACTAATAAATTTCATGTTGCTTTTGTTGTCTTTTTTTTGTCCTTGCTCTCTGTTAGGAGTTGGTGGTGAAAACACTGATAGTAGCTGAGCCGCACGTTCTGCATGCCTACCGCATGTGCCGCCCAGGACAACCACCAGGGAGCGACAGTGTCTGCTTTGAGGTCCTGGGCTTTGACATCATCCTGGACCGCAAACTCAAACCCTGGCTGCTGGAGGTAACAATCTGAAAATATGCAATTTTTTTGAGGAAAAACAGTTTTCTTCTATATTTAATTTTAATTCATCTCACTACTTATTTTAAAAATATTTTCTATCATGGAAAAAATACAATTATTAACTCAACATACATTTTAAATTCTGCATGAATCACTTTTCCATTTACTCACAGTTGTATGCTTCTCTCCTCGTATTAAGGGAGTAAGAGCAGCTGTCCAATTGAAGTACTGCGGCATAAGAAGGAGCGAACAAACACTGATTTTGCTTACATACTCTTTCCCCACACCAAACACCCACACACCATCGAGGATCTATTTATGATTCTTTAAACAGCCAGAAGATACTGATATAAATATAAAGCATTGCTTACACTCAAAAACATAGGAATGCCTTTATTTACAGGAGCATTATATAAATAAAAAAAACATAAAATGACTAAAACGTATCCAGAGTGTGAAAATATAGGTCAAGATCTCATGTTCATTACAAATCAAGGATCCCATAAAATGAACGTCTGCCTCTTAAGGATCAGTCATTCCACAGATGGCTGGATTTTCACTCCGGGATTTCTGTGTTACCTTTCTGATGTCAGCCTGTCAGTTAAAGAGTGACCTAAATCCTTTAACCCAAAGTGCCTGCACCCCCCCCCCCCCCCCTCCCCCCCACACTCACACACACACACACACACACACTCCCCTTCCCACAAATTGGACTGAAAGACTGGAAATGCCGCAGGAATCGTAGCTTGTTTTTTTTCCTCTCTTCTTGCCAAAAAAAGAAAAATTTTTTTTTTTGCAAGTTGCAAGTGTGCAACAAAGTGAAATTTGGGAGCTGTGCTTTTTCAATGGTTATTGTCTCTATTTATTATCGTTCTTTTTTTTTATTATAGAATAAAAATGTTGAAATCCATTTCATTTGTTGGTTTATGTGGAAAAGTTATAACTTAAAAAAAGAAATGAAAAAAAAAAGGGGAACTTGGAGGATTGCCATGACGGGGTGTGTGTGTGTGTGGGTGTGTGTGTGTGCATGTGCGTGACACAGCAAACAGCCGTGAATGCAGTTGTTCCACTCCAGCAGTAATGATCCCCCCTGTGCTACCAGCAGCTCTCTATAACGCTCATCAATTAACATCCTGTGAACACACACACATACACACACACGGTATGTCCTGCTATCCTTACGGGGACTTTCCATTGACTTCCATTCCTTTTGCATTCACTTATATGCTTAACCCAGACCTAAATCATTACCATCAGATAGCTAAACCTAACCTAAACTTAATTCATACATTAGTCCTATAGCTAGGCCCCAACTCAAAAAGAAAACTGTTCCCCACGGGGACCGGTGGAGGGTAAGACCCCACAAAGTAGTATATTCCAGGGAAATTGGTCTAACACTGTCCTTGCAAGGTACCAGATACATGGCTTCACACACGTTTAACCCTGTTCTCTTTTTCAAAGAAATTACAGCAACAATCATTCATTTTCTAAATTCAGCTGATTAGTGGGGGCTCCTTTCAACCCATAGAGACAATGTCTACAATCGTTTATAAAGTCAATCCTGAAATTAGCTTTATTTCTCCTTTTTAACCTTGTAGTACGTTTACTCCCACAGGAAACAAAACACAAGAGACAACTGGTGTCCTATGGTGTTTTTTGTTAAGCTGGGTAATTTAACAGAATTTCACTTTTTCCAGCTCGTTTTCTGCTGAAAACTGCCACAGTCCACCTTAGAGACCAAAACATGATGAGAGCACAGAGGCTGGTTTTGACTTTTTTTTGGACATTTTTCAGTTGTGTCATCCTGAATTACACGTGCCACGCCTCCACAGGGCCTTTGACAGAGCGTTGCTCCGACAATGTTCTCTCTTACTCTTCAGGACGTCAAAGCCAGCTGTTGAACATGCAAACTTGCGGCCAGGAAATGAAAGTTCAACCTGTGTAGACTCAAACTCAGCCGGATACCTGAAAGCTAGATGGTATCATGTATAGGAATCTGTCAGGTGATATTAGTGTTCCTATTTGAATTTGTGTTTTTGTCAGCGGCCTCATGGACATATCTTGGAGGATGAGATGGAAAAAGAAGAATTCCTGCAGTTTACCAATTATATTTTCATAAATAGAAAAAAAAATCTTTTTTTTAAGGGATTTAAAATTATTATATTTAAGATATTTAAGATATTCTACTTAGTGTTACTGCAGTTTAGTTTTAAATAATTGGATGAGTTTGCTCTAAGATATTATTTCTTCAAAATCTCAGCTCACTGAAACAAGACAAATACCACAAAATCACATACTGGACATAATAGAGAAAACAATCCAAATAGCTGCACACACCTGCTAAATAGCTTGTCACAGGGGTGAAAACATAGAAGACAAGAGCGATGACTCACAAACCGAGGGGAGGCATCAAACAGATGCATTGTGCTCTAAGCAAGTATCGAAATGGGAGAAGAGAAGGGGCGACAAAAGGGAGACACAGGCTTTTGTGTGATCGTTATCTTAATTCTGCAGGGTCTCAACACAAGTTTTACCTTCTATTGACATTCAAAACATCAGTGCTACACACAGAGACGCATCAGCACACGCACACTCGCCCAAATGGCGTAACCCGAGACATTCACTTTCATTAAAACAGGTCCAGACAGCATCTGTGTCTCGTACATGAGAGGCGTTTCATTGAGACGCGATGTTCGCTGCGCACACACTCACCAGTGGACGCAATCTGCTGTAACTGTAGCTTATTTGGTCTGAGGAAAGGTTTTTGCTTGCAGCCGTCTTAGTTATCTTAAAGAAATATATTTAAAAATGAAAAACAAAAGAAAAAAAAAATCAATGCACATTCCCTCATAAATTGTTAATGAATTTGATGCCTTAAAACTTCGGTGTGAGCGTCAAAGGGGGAAGACACATGACTTGAAATCTAGTGCGAGCCGTAAGCATTGCAATAGATCACTGGACAAACAAAGAAGGCAAGGGAACAGTTTCATCGACCCCTTCCTTATCCAGGGTGCGTGTCCTGTAAACCAGCATGAAATGGAAAGATATCAGAAGTTTGAAGACAAGGGAGGAGAGACGATGAAGCACAAACACACATTGAACAAGTGACCATTACATTTTCAAGCTTTGATAAAAACTAATATTTAAGAAGCAGAATTACACAATTTACAAATAAAATAAAATAAATCTATAATACAGTATAATAATAATAATAATACAGTAAACGTAAGTAGAGAAGTTTCCACACCCTGACTGTCTGGTTTTTTTGTAAAAATTCCTAACCATATATTCATATATTCTATAATTAAGACACAAAACCCTATTTTTATCCTTAGTTTAAAACTTGCAGTCTTTACACAAGTAAAAAAATGTACGCAAAATAATTATTTGCTAAATGCTATATTAATGTAATTACATTTTTTTCATTTTTTTTTTCCACGTTTTATTTTCAATTTCATTAATATTTGATTTAATTGTTTTTATTCAGCACTGAATCAAAATTGAAGACCCACCTTTTCCCCTTACTATTAAAAAATATTGGCATCGCTAAATGTTTCCTTTTAAAAGAGGATAAAAGAACATGGACACAGCTTGTATTATCGGTGGGTTAAATTACCGCAAGTCGTTTTATAGGTCTCTTAAAAAAGAATCAATCAGGCAGCTGCAGCTCATCCAAATAGCTCCTGCCAGAGTCCTGACCAACACCAGGAGTGTTGAACACATTACACCAGTTCTTCAGTCACATGCTTTATATTTGTAAAATGGCTTTAGGTCTAAAGCTCTTAATGATTTTGAGCAAATATATATTTCTGAGTTGTTTATTAAGTAAGAACCATGTAGACCACTAAGGTCTGTAGGGACCATCTTACTTATTGTTTTTAGGACCAGATCTAAACAAAGGAAAGGAGTTACTTAGTTCCTCAGCTCCCAGAAAGCATAAAATTTGCAGAGGCAGTAAACTTCTTTCAATCCATGCTGGAACATTGTTTTTTACTGCAAGTTTTGATAGAATTGTTACATTTATTGCTCCAATTACTGATCAGTGATTGAAGTTTGAGATTGGAGATTAAATTAGCATTTCAACATGTTTTTTTTTCCTTTTTAAACAGTACTTTTCAAAGCGTTAGTGTTTTTTTTTTATTTCAGTCTATTTCTTTTGATTTTATGTAAATCATTCTGGATTCATTCTTGTATGCATGGTGGCATATAAACAAACTTGCTTTGCTTTCTTTGTGTTTGCAAAAAAAAGCAATATACTTTCAGAGTGAGATCTAAAAAACAAATGCTGTAACAATGATCCTAATCCTTTTATTCTTAAATGATAAGGTTTTTTATCTTACCTTTGTCTTTATGCAGTATTCCTTCTTCCAGCTGCTATATAGGTGAACTCTAAAGTGCCTTGAGATGACATGTTTTGCGAATTGGCGCTATAAAAATAAAGTGAATTGAATTTATATGTTTAAGCAGCCTAATTTAAATATAGTGAGAGCAATTTCTGGTCTTTCTTGCAATTTCTCTGGCAACTAGGATAAACTCATAGGAACGATTTAAAGGGAAAACATGACATACTTAAAATCTTAACTTTTTAGAAACCTTGGTTCCTTTGATACCAGTAACCATGCCATGATTTGTAACAAAAAAATACAATATGAAGAAAAAAAAAACATTGTTTATATCTGATTTTGAAGGCAACAAGAGCAAAATTTATGTCTTTACGGTTTTATCCGAGTTCTGACGGGTAACAATGATTCCCTCTGCTATGATCAGTGGACTGAAGGCTACCCTCATTATAAGCTTATAAGCTCTGGCTCACTACTTCTTTCTTTCTTTTTGTTGTGCATTGTTTCCCCTCATCAACCATAAAACTCCAGCTGCTCAGCTCTAAACAAAAAGAAAGTGTCTTTAATGAGCCTAAAAAAAATTTTTTTTACTCGGTCCCAAGGCAGATTATTCATTTATTTATTTCTTTTTTAGTGGTGGGTTCTTAGCACCTTAAAAGG